AATGGAAATCATTTACATCAAATTTACAGAATTTTGGACACTTACACCATATTTAATTTACAACCTTTAAAGCGCGCGATTTTTTTCCAGTGCAGTTGTTTATTAAAGGTCCCCCTTTTCACAGCCACGAAGATTAATTCTAAGATTAATCCTAGCTAAAGCAACGATACACCAGTTATCAACATTTAAAGCATACTTCTCTGGTCATAATTACCGCTTACCGGAACATGGCTGCGGGTTACAGTCCTGTGTGTCGTTGTACGGCCCAGTACAATTAATTCCTCCATAAGCAGGTGGTGGGTTGGTGCAAGAACGGTTTCGATATCTTGTTCCATTGCCACATAGCTTAGAGCATGACGTCCAGTTGCTCCACTCGGTAAATCTACCATCCACTGAAATATAAGTCAAAAAAGTCTTGAGTGGATTGAAAAGTACGGCTTAGCAACACCTGAAAATAAAACTTTGATTGACACTATATGAAAGCTCCGCTTACCAGGTGAACACGGCATTTTGTTACAGCTCTGTGTGTCGTTGTATGGTCCGGTACAGTTCTTTCCTCCATAAGCAGGGGGTGGGTTGGTACAAGAACGGTTTCGATGTCTTGTTCCATTGCCGCAGGTTAGGTAACAGTTCGACCATCTGCCCCACTCGGTCAAATTACCATCCACTGAAAGATATAAAGATTTCATGCGGAAATCAACGACACTTTTACTTTAGGAAACAGCCCATATATAGAGTGGGAGGGCCGTAAACATTTAGCTCGAGTTGCGCTCGTACAAATGATCGAAAAAAAATATTTTCCGGCACGTCTAAACCTATAAGTTGGTCAGTGAACATTTTTTTCATTTGACACAGTTAAGGACGTTCATTGGCATTGGATTCCGTGATGTCAATTCGATGAAATTTTTTGGGGAAATACGCGATGACATAAACTTGCAAAAAAGCGATTAAAAAGTGGAGGTCACCGGCTTCATTTTAGAGATAATTCTTGCACAAAATCRCCAAAATTGTCAAAGAAAAGCGCGCGAAAAGGGGTCGATGCCGTCTACCAAAAAACTTCCCGAAAAATATAAAACACATATCAATTGATCCAAATTTTTCCACAAAAGCTGAGGGCGATAATTGTTAATATTGTTTACGAGACTTTGAAACATTACATGATGTGATTTTTGATTTCTTTAGGACTTTTGTTCGTGTAAGGCCTCCACATTCGACGTCAAGAATAGGTGTCATTTCCAGCTAAAACTGCTATATTTCAGAAACCTCTGTTGTCGTTTTTTTCCGCTTTCACATATGTTATATTTTTTCCAAGTAGCCTTCTTTTAAGATAAATAGAAATTGGGGTTACCGGGTTCGTTGTCGAAATATTTCGTGTCGAAATCTTAGATTTTGCAGGCCATCTTGAATTGCGAGAGACTTTTTTCTGCCAATCTACGACTTTTTAGAGCATTTTCAACACTTTTTCGCCTCATCAATTCTTTAGCAGTAGTAAATCTCTCRTTTTTTGAACACGAAGACATTTTTCATTCAAGTAGAAGTTCAGAAAAGTACGTACAAGACCTCATAAACACATAACAAGAGCGTTCGCCATCTTTGTTTTGTGTGATGCAATTTCGTGACAACTTCTGGTTTGGGCGTGCGCAGAAAGCGTGCGCAGTAGCAATGCCCTCGAACGTCCTTAAGAAAACAACAGAAAATTAACAAAAACAGCGGTTAAAAGAGCTACGAAAAAGTCGAAAACAACGACATTTGTTTAAAAGGATTTCATTTGGAGTACACGATCGAGAGTGGCAGATAAGCGGCTTTGTAAAACTTGCTCTCTAGCAAAGTCATGTGGTACCCATCATGTGACTTACTCCGAAGTTTTTTCAAGATCTCTCTCCATCGGAAAGTACGTTACCGGACTCTTATGAAACGCATGATGTATAAATCAAGCCGCCAATAGGCGGATCTTTGTTTACATGATTTTCCTCATTAGCATAAGCTTTTTTGCTTTTAAACAAGCTAAATCCAAATCTATACTGAATATTTACAGATATTAGCTCAATTAGCACTCCACGAAAATTTGAGCTTGATATATCTAATAGATTTCGCATAATATGGCTTTAAAAACTACAAATTTTASAAAGAATGTATGGGCTCATTAGCGCTTTGCCACACAGACTTTGCCACACAGAAAAAAGCCACGAAATAAGAAAACTTAAATCAAAACTTAGAAAACCTCGTAAATCTACAGATTTCACAACACTTTGAGCTTTTTGCATGCAATTTTAAACACGATATATCAGTTTTGAGAACAATGGAAAATCGGGCTGTGTGGCAAAACGCTAATGAGCCCATACATTCTTTGTAAAATTCGTAGTTTTGAAAACCATATTACTCCAAATCTATTCCATGGATTTAGCTCAAATTATCAATAACAGCTAATCTTACAGAGTTCTTTCAATATTCAGTGTGTATGTGGTGTTAGCCGCAAAAAAAATAAAATGTAAACAATGACGTCAGCGAAGATCCACCTATATGGCGACACAACTCGAAGATTGTTAGACAAGTATACCGTGGACATAAATCTGTATGAAGCCTCAGACTTTGTTTAGATATGCTGTAATTTCGACAAAAAATCTATAAATGAAAATATTTAACTTGAAATTCTGAATTTAATAATTTATATGCATTCGTAACACCTTAATAATATCGACAATGAATTATCAACACCATCACAATTTCTTGTTCTAACATCTGACCATCTTGGTTACGGATTTCTAAATGCCGGTATGTTTATAGAAAAAATAAGTGACCTCACCTCACACACCATCATCTATCTCCCTCCTATAACTCTTCGATTGCTTCGTAATCTTCGAGTTAAAAACGAAAGAAAATGTATTTGTACCTGGAATCGTGAAGTACACCGAGTCTTCGCTGGCGACTCTCATATCGGGCGTGTTCTCGATCGTCCTGCTGTTTAACTCACAGAGAGACTTGTCTCTATAGTAGTTGATGCTCTGACACCCTGGCTTTGCAGCACAGTTCCTGTAGCAGCTGTCGATATCACCAATAGTCAAAGTTTCCATGACATGGTTAGCAAGGTGTGTCCACCAAAGTGAGGTATGACAGTTGGCGTCAGCGATCTGAGGAGTGAAAAAACAAAGTGTTCCAGCACAACCCCACAAGTAGTTGTGCAAACTCTCATGTTATAATCTCAGTGTTCAGGTGTTGGCTTTAAGCGATTTCTGCACTTATAATAAACTGTATGTCATGTGTCAACTTTTGAAAAATTGTCATGGAGATCGCTATGGTATCAAAATCATTCTAAGTAAACTTGAACATTTGCTCTAATTGGGCTGCATTCATTATGTATACTGCAGGAGGGGAAATTTAAGGGGATCCGAACATTTATTGACTGGAAAAGGGGTTGTCAATTTTTTGGTCATACATATTAAAGGAGGATGCTGATTTTTGAATGAAGTGTTTGTCAATGAAAGCGAAAATGCCTATATGTCTATAATGGTAGAAAATAAACATTTTTAGAATTAAAACTTTAATACTAGACTAACAGCTATTTTACACTAATTAAGATTGTTCCAGCTTAGCAATTAGAAATACACTACAAACATACAGATGAAATTATAATCTAATGCAAAAGACTCTTGAACGAGGATGACAGAGATTGGTCATTACTTTCATCATTGCTGCTGCAACAGCTGCAACAAGAAGTATAGTGATCACACTCTAATATCAACTGCATCAACAGAATTCCCCATAAGCTGTAGTACTGCAAACTGGACTTGTACAAGAGCATGACCAGAAAATGCATTGAGGCTAATTAGGTCTTTCGGTGCTTCGAGATGAAATCTAGGTTTGAGATCGAAGATCAACCACTCGCTAACTCATTCTAAAATAAATTGTATTAAATTGGTTTCCAATTCTTTTTATTTTGAGGGGATATGAAAATTACTGCTGACATTTTTGGGGTATCCAAAAAGTTTGTGCCTTCTAGCAAAATTTCCTTTTTTTTACTGTGTATGGTTTTCCAGTGCGCCATTTTTCCTCCAGCCTTTTATTGCAATATGTTCCACTTTTTTTCCTTTATTCGCGAGATGTCATCTCAGATTTTACCTTAAAAACTGTTACTTCTTTTCTTCTTTATTTTATTATATTTTTTATAATTTTTTTTATTTTGTTTTTGTTTTGTTTCTTTTTTCACTATTTTAAATTTTGATCGTAAAATTTGAATTTGTGTTAATATATTTTTTTGTGTTTACCCTTATATTTATTTTTTTTATAAATATTGCTTTTCAAAGCTCCTGAGAGAATGATTCTGAAACTAGGTGCTAGATACCGATTCCATTTTTCGTCGCAAAAGTCAAAAACCTTTTGAGAACGCGCAAATCAATATGCAAGTGGAAATAGAAAACGAAAGCAAAACAGGCAGGATTAGATTCAGGCTCTAGGTGAGAATCTATATACTCGGTAAAACACGTATACTCAAGTTTTCAGGCTATGAACAACTTTTAGGAACTCAAACAGCAAAAAAGTCGACAAAGAATTGAAAACAATAGAAACAATAACTACTATTTTGCTCTAAACATAGATTTTCAAATCTCCTAAAAAATTGATTCTGAAAAAAAACCCTAGGACCTAAATACAAAAACTGGGATAGCGAATAATGATTTTATTGCTCGCTGGACAATAAACTAAATAAATAAATTCGCATCTAGACATAGAAACAAAAAAAGCTTTCACTGTTTAAAAAAATATATATGGGGTTTTTCTTGATGCAGCATGCGGTAAAGTGCTTTACACAAATTCCACAAACTTAATTCAAGTAAAACAGGCTGAAAAAGGTAAATTTTAGCATCAACGCGATATAAAGGTTTCCTTTTGGAAGATTCCCCTTTAGTCTCTGAGCATAAAATGCTCAGTCGCTACCGCACAACCAAGGAAGGACATTGTCTAATTTCGTTCTTAAAAATAGTCAACTGTCAATGATCAAGACTTACCATGAATTCCATTCTGAGTATAAAAACAGCCCAAAACAAGCACCCACACCAACCAAACATGAAATGCAATCTCATTTTATCAACTTCACTGGTATTACTTTAGAGGAAGAGTCCACAGTGAGCAAAGCGGGCCTTCTTACCGTTATTATCTAACTTACTTTCAGCTGCTGTCAAAGCCTGAATGACTTGACATAATCGATGAGCAGGTTGAGTAATGATTGGCCCATTACTTTTTGAAGTTCTCGACTTCTAGTGTCCTGTTTTATTCGTACGGCATTCTAATTGAGGCTTAATAGACGTCTTCAGTAAGCAAATAAGAACAAAATTGGTCTATCATGAGAACCGAAAGTGTTAATGATATTTGTTTTTAATAGAGTCTACTTGATTACTACTAAGAGATGTCTTCAATAAGCAAATAACTTTGTTAACTGTCAGAATATTTGGAAGATTGGTTTTTCTATCCACCACCTGCAAAGGTTAGTTTGAAATATTTTGATAAGATGTGATGACATATATGGCAAGCTAAAAATACCATTATACCCATATGGACAACCACACTTCATATTTTAATAAAGTTGGTAGAAACGGCTAAAATGCATGTGTTTTGTATTTTATAAAGAAACAGACTGTAATTTGCCCAATAAGTCACATATGTTCCACCAAAATATGCAGTCAAATGTATAAATTTTCACACGAAAGAAACAAATTTGAATATTGAGTTACCAGAAGTCATTTTCAGTATCCTCAATTTTAAAGTTACTTCCGTCTGCAATACATAGGCAAATAACTTAATATTAGAGTGTTTTATTGCGTATATAAAGACCTCTAGCTAAACTGATGAAACCTCTGAGATTCTAAAGAAATGGTTGTAAAATTACGTTGTGAGTCTAAAATCTCCATGTTGGTCCAAACTGTGGACGTTTCGATTGCTTAATTTAATAACTTTTCCCATTTTCATTTTGCTCATCATAAAATTTACCATCAAATTTAATGGAAATCATTTACAACAAATTTACAGAATTTTGGACACTTACATCATATTTACATCAAATTTACAACCTTTAAAGCGCGTGATTTTTTCCAGTGAAAGCTGCGAACTCCTAGTAGATTTTCATGGTTTTCAGCTTTGTGGCTGATGTTGAGGACATCACATAGGTCCTGGGACAACTATTGATATCAAAAACGAAGAGTTAACTTGATCCCAACATATTGTCTTGGATTAACAAAGATGGTTCCAAAATTAGGACATCTTAACTGAATTCTTGCTCAACATATCTGGGCCCTTTTTGCATTGTTGATTTATGGTAAGGTTTAAGTTTTAATAAATGCATTTTATGTTATCTTGTAAAATAATTGATAGTGTATATAATGTAGGGTTGGTTTATTTATCCATTTTTAAGTTTAAAAAAACTTTCATGAAAAACCTTTTAACTTTCATACCCTGGAATTTTAATCGTATGAGGAAGTAGCTGATTCCATTAAAGAGTGCTCAATACACATATAGTGTAGAGCTAGTTATATATAATATCAAAGAGGCAAGATTTTTCTGTTATTCCGAGTTTCGTGCTACGCACTCATCAGACAGTATTTAATGATCAATACTGTCTGATAAGTGCGTAGCACGAAACTCGAAGCAACAGTAAAGTCTTGCCTCTTTGATATTATATACACCCTGGAATTTTATTATATTGGTGATTAATGAAGAGTTCTTTCAAAACAATAAACTCGCTTGTTTTGTTTATTTGTTTGCTCGCATTGCTCAATCACTTTTGACATTATAGTCCTTACAATGATACAAGAATATTTATATTAATTATGAAGTCAGTGTCACCAACCATCAATTACATTCCAGGTAATTTTCAAGGTCACGTGACCATAAAGCAAAGTCTGCTATGGAATAACTGGCAACGAGCCTCATAACGGCTGCGAGAGGATACTACAAAAGCGMCTGTTTACATYACAGAGCATRTAGCTATTTTAAAAAWGTTGTCAAAGATGATTTATGATATGATGAATGARCAATAATTCGGCTYCTWATTTAATAGTCYGATCAAATRTATATCTTTACACGTCTAATGTTACAGCCGTCTAAGTATATAATCTATACTCATATTCTAATCGTATGATATCTCCAATGTAAATTATACACATGCAATATTACATCACTATA